TACCACAAATACAGACAACTGTTAGTCTATAAAGTGTGTGGGGGTGAAGGCTTGGTGTAACAGCCTGATACACTCTTTATACCACACATATAGACAATTGTTAAGTCTATAAAGTGAGGGGGTGAAGGCCTGGTATAACAGCCTGACAGACTCTTTCTACTACACATACAGACAATTGTATAAAGTGTGGGGGCTGAAGGCCAGTTGTAACGGCTGACAGACTCTTTGTACAGCACATACAGACAATTGTATAAAGTGAGGAGGCTGAAGGTCAGGTGTAACAGCTGACAGACTCTTTATACTACACATACAGACAATAGATGATATGGCGACCAGTGGAACTCTTCAAATAGGAGGGGATTAAACTGTACTCGCTGGGGCAACGAACAACATGGCAGCGCCAAAACATTCAGATACGAATTTCCATGAACTTCCATGTAATGAATTGGGTAATATTTTAAAGTCAAAAGGTACCACCTACTCCAAATAAGAAAATTGGGGAGCTAGTACACCTATGATAGCAAGCAGACATGTTAAATTGGCCAGGTATTGAAAAAGAGGATGAAGCTAAAGCGTCACAGCTGTGACGGACCGTCAGCGACATACAGAGTATCGTGTGTTACCTTTATGTAAATGAAACGTCAGAAGGCTTGTTTTGGACAAACAATTTGATTGGAATGTCATTACTAAATGCATTTGATATGACCTCTATTCTTCTGAGTTATTTTTGTTGGTTCAATACAGTGAAGGTGGGGCATATTTTTTAAACATGGCAGATTGTTTTGCCCCCGTATCCTCGCATTCTCTCCCGAGACTTGTGCATTTTCCAGCAAGAACTCTTCGAAGGGGAGTAACTCATGGATGGTCGCGATAACACCTATTGTATAAAGTGAGGGGGCTGAAAGTCAGGTGTAACAGATGACAGACTCTTTATACTACACATACAGACAATTGTATAAAGTGAGGGGGCTGAAGGCCTGGTGTAATGGCTGACAGACTCTTTGTACAGCACATACAGACAATTGTATAAAGTGTGGGGGCTGAAAGCCTGGTGTAATGGCTGACAGACTCTTTGTACAGCACATACAGACAATTGTATAAAGTGAGGGGGCTGAAGGCCAGGTGTAATGGCTGACAGACTCTGTGTACAGCACATACAGACAATTGTATAAAGTGAGGGGGCTGAAGGCCTGGTGTAATGGCTGACAAACTCTTTGTACAGCACATACAGACAATTGTATAAAGTGAGGGGGCTGAAGGCCTGGTGTAGTGGCTGACAAACTCTTTGTACAGCACATACAGACAATTGTATAAAGTGAGGGGGCTGAAGGCCTGATGTAACAGCTGACAAACTCTTTGTACAGCATATACAGACAATTGTATAAAGTGTGGGGGCTGAAGGCCAGGTGTAACGGCTGACATACTCTTTGTACAGCACATACAGACAATTGTATAAAATGAGGGGGCTGAAGGCCTGGTGTAACGGCTGACAGACTCTTTATAGTACACATACAGACAATTGTATAAAGTGTGGGGGGCTGAAGGCCAGTTGTAACGGCTGACAGACTCTTTGTACAGCACATACATGTACAGACAATTGTATAAAGTGAGGAGGCTGAAGGTCAGGTGTAATGGCTGACAAACTCTTTGTACAGCACATACAGACAATTGTATAAAGTGTGGGGGCTGAAAGCCTGGTGTAATGGCTGACAGACTCTTTGTACAGCACATACAGAAAATTGTATAAAGTGTTGGGGCTGAAGGCCTGGTGTAACAGCTGACAGAATCTTTGTACAGCACATACAGACAATTGTATAAAGTGAGTGGGCTGAAGGCCTGGTGTAATGGCTGACAAACTCTTTGTACAGCACATACAGACAATTGTATAAAGTGAGTGGGCTGAAGGCCTGGTGTAATGGCTGACAAACTCTTTGTACAGCACATAAAGACAATTGTATAAAGTGAGGGGGCTGAAGGCCTGGTGTAGCAGCTGACAAAATCTTTGTACAGCACATACAGACAATTGTATAAAGTGAGGGGGCTGAAGGCCTGGTGTAACGGCTGACAGACTATTTGTAAAGCACATATAAAGACCAAATAAAATCCTTGCTCATTATTTCTAGGTTTAAACAAAGGAATTGTTGCTATTCCAATATGATTTTGCAGTGATTTGTAGAATGAATCTCTGTATGTGATCACCTTACTTCAGTGTAACACATTCAAGATAAGACAAGGACAATCAACTGATGTTCACATCTCAGGATTTAACCAGATGCTTTTAAGTTTTTATTTTATTCCTCTATCTATTCTTGAACATCTTTAATGATGAAATGTTGTTTCAGATGTTATCCATCTTATCACGCCTGAAACAATCTTATTATACGACCTTATCTCTCGGGGATCGTTAAATCTCTGTAAGCGGGTGTTTAAGGGAGACAACTCACCACAGATGTCCTTAAGTAGTTTGAACTGAAGAAATATTATTATATAACGCACATTTTCATATGTTATCCTTGATAAATTCTTTGCATCACAAATTGCTTCAGCTTGCAATCGGTGAAATTGTCTTGCATTAAAAACATTCCTAGGTTCTGATTTCCACTCACAGATGTCTCCTAGCTAAGAGTCACCTTCTCAAAGTCATATGTACATGTAGTGCTGGGTTTTTTTGGCCACTAGATTTTGCAATAAGCTCAGTGTGTAGTCAATGGCAAGATGAACTGTGTGAACTCAATACCAACGACACATACTGAAACTCATCAGGGTAAATACCTTGGTATACAGTTTGGAGGTTTTAGATAATATGAAAGACTTTGATAAGATCTTTTTTTTAAAGTGAGAAGTATAATTTCTTGTCTGGGGAGACACATACTTAAGGATGGTAGGGATATTTTATTATCAGGGAAACAACACATACTTAAGGATGGTAGAGATATTTTATTATTAGGGAATCAACACATCCTTAAGGATGGTAGGGATATTTTATCATCAGGGAATCGACACATACTTAAGGATGGTAGAGATATTTTATGATCAGGGAATCAACACATACTTAAGGATGGTATAGATATTTTATTATCAGGGAAGCAACACATACTTAAGGATGATAGAGATATTTTATTATCAGGGAATCAACACATACTTAAGGATGGTAGGGATATTTTATCATCAGGGAATCGACACATACTTAAGGATGGTAGAGATATTTTATTATTAGGGAATCAACACATACTTAAGGATGGTAGAGATATTTTATTATCAGGGAAGCAACACATACTTAAGGATGGTAGGGGTATTTTCTTGATCATGTAGCAGAAACATCTCATTAATTAGAACATTTTTTGTTAATAGCAAAAGAAGACCCATGATGCACAGATGCGAGCATCTGCCCTGACTCGTGAACTGGAGATGTTAAAGGTGACAGCCGAGAAACAGAAAGGTCAGATCCACCAGCTTCAGGAACTACTGGCCAATCGGGAACAGCAGCACAGGTAAAGGTCAGGGGTCAGACTGATAGGAGTCATGGGTCAAAATACTAAAGGGCCAGTTATTAAACTAATAGGGGATCAGGAATCGGGCTAAAAAGGAATTGAGGAGGTCAATTTGATAGGTCAAAGGTCAGACTTATAGGTGGTTAGGGGTCAGACTGATAGAGGTCTGTGTTTAACTGTTCTACTCACAAACAGAACCATCAGTAACTGGAAGTTGCCTTGATGGTTGAATTTGTAACTTCCAGCTGACAGGAAACGCGTTCTGGAATACTTGGTGATAGTTTTTGCAAATAAATGTACTGACTGACAGGAAATAAGGCATTAGAATGTGAATTGAGGCTTAGGTTGGTTTTACATTAAAACTGTAGACTGAAAGATGAGGGGAATACGTGCGCCATACTCTGTTCAGTTTTTTCTACATCTATTTCATTACAAGGAGTCTGAAAATATGGGTTCTGTCTTGTTAGAAGAAGCATAATTGCATGTAATCTGTCAATGTAAGTATCGGCTGTATAGATGGCTCTAGCCATTACAAAGTCTTGTGGAAGGACGCAACTGTGCAAAAACGTTCTTAAAATTAAATAGTTCACTCATGTGAAAGTTTCTGTCAAAAGGAGTGGAAAGGGAAATGAATCCATGGCCTTGTTAATGACTTTTCATTGAAGTAATGAGTTACATGAAATGTTAGCTTTATGTTTAAAAGTACCAACACCTGATCAACCCATGGTAGGGTCTGAGGTTATCAGGTTAAAGGTACCAACACCTGATCAACCCATCGTAGGGTCGGAGGTTAACAGGTTAAATGTACCAACACTTGATCAACCCATCATAGGGTCCAGGGTTATCAGGTTAAAGGTACCAACACCTGATCAACCCATTGTAGGGTCCAAGGTTATCAGGTTAAAGGTACCAACACCTGATCAACCCATTGTAGGGTTCGAGGTTAACAGGTTAAAGGTACCAACACCTGATCAACCCATTGTAGGGTCCGAGGTTAACAGGTTAAAGGAACCAACACCTGGTCAACCCATCGTAGGGTCCGAGGTTATCGGGTTAAAGGTACCAACACCTGATCAACCCATCGTAGGGTCCGAGGTTATCAGGTTAAAGGTACCAACACCTGATCAACCAATCGTAGGGTCCAGGGTTATCAGGTTAAAGGTACCAACACTTGATCAACCCATCGTAGGGTCCAGGGTTATCAGGTTAAAGGTACCAACACTTGATCAACCCATACTAGGGTCTGAGGTTATCAGGTTAAAGGAACCAACACCTGATCAACCCATCGTAGGGTCCGAGGTTATAGGGTTAAAGGAACCAACACCTGATCAACCCATCGTAGGGTCCAGGGTTATCAGGTTAAAGGTACTAACACCTGATCAACCCATCGTAGGGTCTGAGGTTATCAGGTTAAAGGTACCAACATCTGATCAACCCATCGTAGGGTCCGAGGTTAACAGGTTAAAGGTACCAACACTTGATCAACCCATCGTAGGGTCCAGGGTTATCAGGTTAAAGGTACCAACACCTGATCAACCCATCGTAGGGTCTGAGGTTATCAGGTTAAAGGTACCAACATCTGATCAACCCATCGTAGGGTCCGAGGTTAACAGGTTAAAGGTACCAACACTTGATCAACCCATCGTAGGGTCCAGGGTTATCAGGTTAAAGGTACCAACACCTGATCAACCCATCGTAGGGTCCGAGGTTATCAGGTTAAAGGTACCAACACCTGATCAACCCATCGTAGGGTCTGAGGTTATCAGGTTAAAGGTACCAACACCTGATCAACCCATCGTAGGGTCCGAGGTTATCAGGTTAAAGGTACCAACACCTGATCAACCCATCGTAGGGTCCGAGGTTATCAGGTTAAAGGTACCAACACCTGATCAACCCATCGTAGGGTCTGAGGTTATCAGGTTAAAGGTACCAACACCTGATCAACCCATCGTAGGGTCTGAGGTTATCAGGTTAAAGGTACCAACACCTGATCAACCCATCGTAGGGTCCAGGGTTATCAGGTTAAAGGTACCAACACCTGATCAACCCATCGTAGGGTCCGAGGTTATCAGGTTAAAGGTACCAACACCTGATCAACCCATCGTAGGGTCCAGGGTTATCAGGTTAAAGGTACCAACACCTGATCAACCCATCGTAGGGTCCGAGGTTATCAGGTTAAAGGTACCAACACCTGATCAACCCATCGTAGGGTCCAGGGTTATCAGGTTAAAGGTACCAACACCTGATCAACCCATCGTAGGGTCCGAGGTTATCAGGTTAAAGGTACCAACACCTGATCAACCCATCGTAGGGTCCAGGGTTATCAGGTTAAAGGTACCAACACCTGATCAACCCATCGTAGGGTCCGGGGTTATCAGGTTAAAGGTACCAACACCTGATCAACCCATCGTAGGGTCCGAGGTTATCAGGTTAAAGGTACCAACACCTGATCAACCCATCGTAGGGTCCAGGGTTATCAGGTTAAAGGTACCAACACCTGATCAACCCATCGTAGGGTCCGGGGTTATCAGGTTAAAGGTACCAACACCTGATCAACCCATCGTAGGGTCCGAGGTTATCAGGTTAAAGGTACCAACACCTGATCAACCCATCGTAGGGTCCAGGGTTATCAGGTTAAAGGTACCAACACCTGATCAACCCATCGTAGGGTCCGGGGTTATCAGGTTAAAGGTACCAACACCTGATCAACCCATCGTAGGGTCCGAGGTTATCAGGTTAAAGGTACCAACACCTGATCAACCCATCGTAGGGTCCGAGGTTATCAGGTTAAAGGTACCAACACCTGATCAACCCATCGTAGGGTCCGAGGTTATCAGGTTAAAGGTACCAACACCTGATCAACCCATCGTAGGGTCCAGGGTTATCAGGTTAAAGGTACCAACACCTGATCAACCCATCGTAGGGTCCGAGGTTATCAGGTTAAAGGTACCAACACCTGATCAACCCATCGTAGGGTCTGAGGTTATCAGGTTAAAGGTACCAACACCTGATCAACCCATCGTAGGGTCTGAGGTTATCAGGTTAAAGGTACCAACACCTGATCAACCCATCGTAGGGTCCGAGGTTATCAGGTTAAAGGTACCAACACCTGATCAACCCATCGTAGGGTCCAGGGTTATCAGGTTAAAGGTACCAACACCTGATCAACTCATCGTAGCGTCTGAGGTTATCAGGTTAAAGGTACCAACACCTGATCAACCCATCGTAGGGTCCAGGGTTATCAGGTTAAAGGTACCAACACCTGATCAACTCATCGTAGCGTCTGAGGTTATCAGGTTAAAGGTACCAACACCTGATCAACCCATCGTAGGGTCTGAGGTTATCAGGATAAAGGTACCAACACCTGATCAACCCATCGTAGGGTCTGAGGTTATCAGGATAAAGGTACCAACACCTGATCAACCCATCGTAGGGTCCAGGGTTATCAGGTTAAAGGTACCAACACCTGATCAACTCATCGTAGCGTCTGAGGTTATCAGGTTAAAGGTACCAACACCTGATCAACCCATCGTAGGGTCCGAGGTTATCAGGTTAAAGGTACCAACACCTGATCAACCCATCGTAGGGTCCGAGGTTATCAGGTTAAAGGTACCAACACCTGATCAACCCATCGTAGGGTCCGAGGTTATCAGGTTAAAGGTACCAACACCTGATCAACCCATCGTAGGGTCCGAGGTTATCAGGTTAAAGGTACCAACACCTGATCAACCCATCGTAGGGTCCGAGGTTATCAGGTTAAAGGTACCAACACCTGGTCAACCCATCGTAGGGTCCAGGGTTATCAGGTTAAAGGTACCAACACTTTATCAACCCATCGTAGGGTCCAGGGTTATCAGGTTAAAGGTACCAGCACCTGATCAACCCATCGTAGGGTCCTAGGCTATCAGGAACTGATGCTCAAATCATTGCTACATTAGAACAAATCTGTTCTTGATGTAGTGTTATATAGAGAAAATGTTTTTCTTGACATGGCGTTATTATATAATGAGAGTATTTAGTGGTTGACATGGTGTTATAATGGAAGAATGAAGTTAATCAAAGAAAACATTTTCATCAACTTCCTTTACAAATGAAGGCATTAAATAACACATTCTTAAATTGCCAATTAAAATATAAAACGTTGTTGGCATAAATGGAGTTTGATATCAATTTTAAGCTGACAGCTATACAATAGACAGCTATACAATATGAATCTGGTTGTCTGTATTAAGAGCTGGGACTTTTGCAGTGCTAATGAAACGTAAACCCTGAACATTGAAACTAGTTGGATGTTTCTGGAGATTGTGGCCCAGGCATGGAGGCAAACACTCTCCATCTTACCCAGGCGTAGAGGCAAACTCTCTCCATCTTACCCAGCCATAGAGGCAAATTCTCTCCATCTTACCCAGGCGTAGAGGCAAACACTGTCCATCTTACCCAGGCATGGAGGCAAACACTCTCCATCTAACACAGGCGTAGAGGCAAACACTCTCCATCTTACCCAGGCGTAGAGGCAAACACTCTCCATCTAACCCAGGTGTAGAGACAAACACTCTCCATCTTACATCTTTTGATCAGATTTCACAGATGAATGTCATGTCAGAGAGAAGTAAAGCTGTATTCCTTATAATGGACGAACTCTGAAAGGAAAACAAGCTCAATAATAAGACTTTTGTGTTATCATAACTGGAATATATATTTTATAAAATATCTTTCTCCCACTCTTCACACACATCCCCAATAATACAATCTTTCTGCACGCTGAGGGTCTTTCTGCACGCTGAGGGTCTTTCTGCACGTTGAGGGTCTTTCTGCACGCTGAGGGTCTTTCTGCACGTTGAGGGTCTTTCTGCACGCTGAGGGTTAGACTGAAAAATCTGAACACAAAGGGTAAAATTCTTACATGTCTATCCCGGGCTTTACTGAGGGCCAGACATTTAAGAAACTTACCCTGAGGGCCAGACGTTTAAGAAACTTACCTTGAGGGTTGAGATTTTTCT